ATCGACAGTACTCGGGGACTTCTAGTGATCAAGACTAGGGTAAAAATCTGCCGAAGTTCCCCTTTAAGTCCAAGGGTGAGTTCAATATCACATACTAACAGGGCAGTATGCAGTACATACTGATTGAGTATACTGTAAGTATTATGTTTTTTTTTGTTTTTAAAAACACACTCCATGTGGATGTTTTTGCCAAAGAAATTCCTGCGATGCATTTGAGATATTGCATTCACAAGAATGGCAGGACAACCCAAAAGCAATATGCCGCCGGTCATGACTATCGCCAGCACAGAACCAGCAGTTTGGGAAAGCCTACATCAAGCCCAGACGACTGGTTGCTCCTTGTTGCACAAGTGACAGTTCTAGTTAGTGTTCTCTGACCAGTCACTAGAAAGTCAAGAAAAAGAAATAATTAAAAAAAGAGAACGAAGTACCAGGTAGGTACCACCCACAACATTTGCCAGTGGAAAGCCATAAAAGAACAGTTCCAAGCGAGTCACGTTGAGCCATACCATGCAGTGGAAGTGAGGCATATTGGGTTCTTGGAATATGCTGCATGCTGTTGGGAATAATGTCGGGGTTTGGGAAATGAAAAGTGAAATTTGAATGGTTTCTTCGCACTAACCTGATCATGTTGGTCTGGTCAGACTTCTCCAGAACTCTGATGACCAGCAGGTTGACTGATCTGATGAGCTGCTGTCCATCCTCGATGTCCTCCACTCTGCCGTCCAGCATCAGTGTTATCAGACCGTGCATAAGGTCCTTCAACACACCCATAGACGCCTCTCTGGCCAGGGACTCCATGGAGAACAACTGACAGAAAGACACAAGAGTAAGTTCATGAAGACGTTCGTGTCTCCTCAGCCTCATTAATGTAGGTCCTGATAGGGAACCATCAGTAAGACAGCATTCGCAGGCAGTGACTCACAGACAGCATGTTTCCTATGATGCAGCTGTACAGTTTGATGATGTCCTTCTTGTCCAGTCGGTCATCAGCCATGTGCGTGCTATAGATGAGCCTCAGCTGCATGAAAGTAGCAATGAGGAACTGATCGATGTGTCCCGACATGACTTCTGCTTTGTCCTCCTGCCGCAACACCTCGTCGATCTGTGGGGACAAAGCACACATTTTAGATCTCATCTTACAGTGGCAATAGTGGATCTGTTCCCCTCAGCTTCACAGAGCTTTTTAGTGAATTTGTGGCTTGTTTTGATTTCTGACATGTGGACCAAAAAAAGACTGTATTTCATGGATATATTACAGTAACTAGCTAGGTACATAGGAAGATAACGTCTGATTAGTCGATAGCGGAGTTGAGGTAGAGCAGCTGGAGGATGCCTGAGGGAAAGCAGACCAACCAAACCATTTTTCTCAAACTATGATCCAGTTTCACTGCTTTTGTACAGTAATCAGTGAGCAGCTCTCCAGAAACACTTGGTACACTTGGACATGCTGCTGCTAGCCAGCTAATAAATCATTTCTCTGCATTGCTAAAAGTCTTTATGAAATTATTGGCTGAAATGTCTACCTTTTATTTAAGTTTTTGCACAGGTTCTTAGGGTCTCAATAGTTAAATTAACTTCTTGTCATGTGTGCTGTGGTGGTAACTTTGAGAATCAGCATTTCTTTCAGGAGATATTAAAGCGTATAGAAACATATGATTTATGGTGTGTAGCCCTAATAAAGGCCTGACTGATGCCAGATATTTGAGACATATATATGGTTTTGTTTTAATAATGACATCAAGTCTCACAGTGAGCAAATACTGCAGTAATAATTCAGTGATAAGAGTGGTTGTATTACAGTTCACAGGAATAACACTTGAAACCTGTTTGTGTGTCTGCATGTCTCTGTGTGTGCTATACCTGTGCCAGGGCCTGTATGCTGGTGTTGATGTCACCACTAGCCACCTGAGAGATGACAAAGTTGATGGTGGAGGCCGTGCTGTTGTGGAGGTCATCAAAGTGTGGAGAGACAGAACGCATCCTTTAAACACAAAAACACAAACACTATTAAACTATTATTAAAAACTATTATTGTTCTCAAGAATGTTACTTTTTAGCACTGTGTATGTGCTTCAGCTAACTACATCCAAGTGCATTTACTTGGGTTCAGGGATCATGATTGGCTCCAGCAGCTCGTCCAGCTTGTGTTGGACAAGGTCCGGCAGCTCGCACACCCTGCTCTGGTCCATCTCGATCATGTCCAGGTCCAACTGGAACTCTTTAGGGATGGACGGGTGGGAGGACTCGCTGAGCTGGGCATTCTGACGGGCTTGGCTGGATGGTGGAAGGTTAGATAGTGGAAAATGGACAAGACAGTATATTTAGTCCAGGGTATAATCGATCAGTGCCTCTCAACTCCAGTCCATTTTACTAGTTTGAGGACCACTGGAAACATCCACGTACTGTCAGAAATTTTCAGTCTAATGAAAAAGGATAAAGGTTAGAATCATCCTCATATGGCAAAAACCCCACTTATAAACAATCAGTGAAGGAGTTTTCAACAACTTCAAGATTAGGTCAGTGGGTTTACCCTTGAGAACCTTCCCTGCTTTGAGACTAACGGAGGTTCTGTTAGGGAGACCTTTATATTAAAGTATTCTAGTGTGTGAAGCTGATCTTTGTATCTGACATGACTGGAGCTGATCAGCACTGATCTAAAACCAACATTAAGCATTTGTTTTTATTCCACTCCTTTCTAAAAGGATACACACAGAACAGCTACTTCGACAACTGGATAAGAGAAAAAGTCTAAGCGTTTTCATTCAATCATTGGTGGCCACATTAATGATGCCTTTTTTTTTAAAAATATTTGAATCTTAAAATAAAACTAATAGTCGCTCAAATAAAAGCTGTGAAGAAGCAGTGAATTTAAATTTTAAGTAAGAGCTCATATAGATGGTCAGGGCTGAGTCTTCTGTACAACCACTGGTTCCATTTAGAGAGGAGCTCCACTCTAAATTTTTGTTTTGGCACTGTAAACATGATCACGTAGATTCTTGTATGCGTGTTAATAAAAGGGGATTTTTCCAACAAAACACACTGTAAAACTAGCTTTTTGTGCTCAGATTAGTATGTATTCATCTGTCTGGATCTGAAAGTTCCATTCAGCCGAATTCTCTTGCCCCTCCCAAACCATGATGTAATAGCCAAGACCAGAGGTCTTTGTAGTTATTGGCGGGCCTCTGTGTGAAATTCAGAGCGTAACAAGATATTTAGGGCAGATTAACAGTAACATCAATCACAACAAACAGCAGGGGTACAGCTGTGTATTGACACTCCCCCACAGAGACACACACACAAACCTCTTATAGTAAAGCTGCGCCCCCACGGACTCTCTCAAAAGGGCTACAACTGAGAGTCTGGTGGTGCTTTGACAGTAACTAGAAGTACAGTCTTTCCAGCACTGTTCCATGTCACACTGAGAGGTGGTCAGTCTCTCTCGTGCATTTCTCCACACCCCACATCACACAAAACATCTAGCCTATAGTAGCTAGCAATCTTTATATTCAGAGTCAGCCAACATTTAAATTCTTGGCTGTTATTGGATCCAAGCATCTTAGGGGGAAAAAAAATGCTACATCCAATTTCTACTTCATTCAGTATAACAATTTTGCAATATGGCACTGATGGGTCGCCCTCAGTGCTATTGACTAGCTCAAGAGGCCTCTGCTTTGAATGAGTCTGTGAAACCGCTCTCATTTTCAAACATATACTGATCGAGACGCATCATTTACAGGAGTTCATGCTATTTATTGGTAAATTTTGGCACAATGGTTTAGACTTGTGCTTTCGAACACATAAAGTCCCCCAAAGACTCACACATACATACCGGAGAATTAAAAAGGGTGTAGTAGGCTGCGACAGATGACATTTTACATGAAAAATTACTTTTAACGATTAATCAAAGATCAAAAGAGTTGGGTAGTTATTTTTCTGTCGACCGATTGAGCAATCATTCGACACCTCGTTGCAGCTCTACTCACTGTGGATCCAGGTGGGTGCATCGTAACCCATTACAACTGCTGAGATTTCTAAGAATATTGAATTGATAGAAAAGCTCATTATCAGTGTCAGGACTTATCATCCTCTTGTTTTCTAAGTACAAATTTCACATCATAAAAACAATCAAAATTGTTGCCAACTATAAAAAAAAAAGGTTAAAAAAAAAAAAAAAAAAAACATGGCCAACAATAGTTTTCCTTATTGCAACTTTCAAAAACCTTTTCAAGAATACAAAGTGTCCTTTTATTTGTAGTTTCACTTTGCAGAGGACAGTTAATCACATTTCCAGGTACAGTATACACAACATACACAAGTAAGACAGGGGTGATGAGGAAGAAGAATGAACCACATCTAAAAGTGACAGGACATTTTGAACATTAGTCTGGTGCATCATGTGACAGCAGGGAAGAAGAACAGACCCTTATTCCCTACCATGTAAAGAAGCACGACTAAAACTCGAAAGTCACAGCAAACCTTTCTGTTCATTAGTTTGATGAATGATGAGTATTAGATCGGATTCAGAGTAGAGTTCTTACAATGACAATATGTAGAAAAGGGGGGCGAGGAGGAGGTACTCACATCCTATACGTGCGATACATTATTCTGCTCCCGAACGGAAGGCAGGCAGAGCAGAGAAAAGAGGAAATCACACCAGAAGAAAGATGAAGGGTTAAGAGATAGGCAGGCAGGAGACGGGTAGCCGGCCCACCAGCCAGCCAAAGACACTGAACACAACCAGGTTGGTTTCACAGACACGGTGGATAGGATTTTATATGCCAATTTCTAAGTATCTGTGAGAGCAACCCAACATGCAATGACTGAGTAAAACAAGACAAGAAGAGAAGGACAGATTAGTTGCGAGGAAAACATTCAAAAGATTTATGGCATGAATCAGTCAAGTTCCAACAGTCCACAGCATGTAGAAGTCTGTTATAGATCTGACAGATTAAAGGAGGTGGTTGGCTGATAGAATGGAAGACATGCTTATGAAAAACTGTTGGAAACATGGGGTTTTAAGACTTTTCACATCCGGCTACAAGACTTTTTTTTTCCCGCATTCATTTGAAAGCATGCTAGTCTTCTGCCTGGAAAAGAAACATCACTGGAGAAATAATATTTTGAAATGCTTTTGAGATAAACCAGACTGGACCAAGTTATCTTCACCTGACCAGTTAGCTGCATAGTAAATGGGGCAGTGTGTTGGTTGGAAGTTGACTTTGGGTTCTTTTGTGAACTGATTTCTTTCCCAACCCTAATGATCATCTTTCCCTGCAAAACCACCTTTATTTTCTGAAGCTGTTTCTATCCAGCAAATATTATATTTTATACATAAATGGTAACAGCAAACTTTTAAAAAGACAGAAAATCCAGCAATCTAGATGAGAGCCAAACCAACAGTTGGTCAATATTTCACAGATATCGACGCATAACATACACACCAATGCCAGTATGTCTGTTTTTTGGTTGTGGTATATAATGCAGAAAAGAAAATGAAAGTAGTAATATTCTGGTGTCAGTGCAAAGTTTATCCAGCAGAGTGCGCTGTGATTTACAATACTGTGGCAAGTAGCACAGAGTAAGAGAGAAAAAGCAGCTCTCAGTAACTAGCACTGGTTGACTATGCATGTTCAGTTTTTTTTAACATGTTAAAGAATATTGCACTTCAATATTTTTTAATAAAGTTATTTGTTTAAGCAGTCGTAAAAAAGTTTTATTAAAACTTAAATTCTCTATAACAGCAGCCATATTAGTAATCTGATTTATTTCTCCTATAATTGAAACAAACAAAAAAAAAAAAATATTGAAATAAAACTAATGAAAAATAAAAAAAATATAACTTCTTTGTAAGTAGGCTGCTTGATCTCTTAGAAACTTAAACCAATAATGGAAATATTAGTATTGATGTTATATCCAGTTCACATCCAGTGTTTAGCATTAAAACATTAGGATATAATAGGATTTACATGTGCTATACTGTCAAAGCTAACTTGCCTTGCCTTCATTTGTTACAAAAACTGAATGCGATGTGTTTACAAAGAGATTGGCTTTCTTCTTGTGTCTAAAAGCCCAATTATGTCCATTGTGAATGTTGTAAATTGAACACTTAAAAAGGAACGTAGAGGACGTTCACATTGCAGGTCTTAATGCTCAATTCATGCTGAGATCCGATTTTTTTTTGCATGGTTGTTCACGTTATAATTTAAATGCGACCGC